CTTCCACTTTCCCAGAAGGGACGAGGTTGTGGGTCCGAGGAGTCTGAAGGTTCTAGGGTTCAAAACTCTCGGTGCGGGAACTGCTAAAGAATTTGGGCAGGTGATATTCGGGGAGCAGAATAGGTGGAAAACCGCATTCCAGCCAATCCACGAGCTTCATCCTGATTCTCATGCTGTTCTATGCAAATAGCGCTCCTTAGTACCAAGAAGATTGTACTCATCAAACATTAAAGTGCGACATAAGCGTGTACAATTTGCTAGTTTAAGAATTCTATGTACCCGGTCCCACTCCACAGCGGTTTTCTAAGAATATGCATAGAGGGTTGGAGAATGTCAAGAGATGGTAGGTTTAATGAGGACTGAAATAAAGCGAATTTTAAGGAACTTATCGATAGTAGAAGCCGGGAATCCGTTCAAAAATGTCATGTGTGCTGCGAAAAAGATGTAGAAACAAACTAATGCCAGCAGTGAAAATGAAAGAAAAAACACACCCTATGATGGTAAGAGCTGGAACAGCTTGGAGACGTTTGTGAAGTGTATGAAAAGCATCAGACTGCGGCATCAACATCAACAAAGCGGAGAGCACCGTCGAAAGAGAAGCGCTGGATGACAAGCCGATAGCAGATCCATGCGCACATCTTGAACGGAGATCATTTGCCAAAGGAAAACCAACTGTGGTCGGATTTTAAATTTCAATTTATACGAGAGGATTCATTTTGCAAATCCATTAACAGCGTTAGTAAACAAAAGTAAGAGATAACTAAAAGCATATCAGTACGAAGCCGTTCATTCTAATTCTCGAAAAAATCCTTTTGAAAAATTCTACAATAACTTGGAGAAGAAAACCTCAAAAGGAATGTATAAAAGGCTCTACTGCATAAAACTGTAACCGCTCCTTGTATAAACTGAAGCATCACGGTTAATCGCAGCTATTTGGGACAACAAAGATATAAAAACTAACATGCTAGGACAGGGCTCTCTATCATATTGACGAGTTTGTCGATTTCGACAAGCACATCCAACGTCATGTCCACCTAAAAAAGATCGTCAATACGCTATCTCACTATTTTCTACATTCGCCTCGCGATTCATAATTGAAATCTTTGGCTATAAGTATTCAAACGGCACTTACCCAGTAAAGCGAGAGGCGCGGGTTGGAATCCCGCCTGGCAAGTTTTGTTCACAACCCTGTATACTGTGACCACTAATGTGAACAAGTTTCAACAGGATGCTTGAGGTTATTGGACAAAACTTCCGCCCCATCTCTGCTTAGTCAACATTGTGCTTGCCTCGACAAAAAGGAACGATGGTTGGTCGGAATCCCGGCCTGCCGGGCAAAATTTGCCAACCATAATTTCAGGTGGATTCGTTTTGGAACTTTCGCAACCAAAACAGCGGCGTAAGAACAGCAGCCAAGCAAAGAGATACTGAATGGCAGGAGAGTGTAAGAATTGCGAGACGCTAGCAGGATCCGTAGCCAAAAAAAGTTGATCAAAGCTGAAAATTGCTACCTCAGACAAAAGCAGAGCAATTTCAGCGGCTTGAGCATAGTTTTGGGAGAGTAGACATAGTCCAAGCAGTGCGATTCGGTCGGTAGCACCAGCACCGGAAAACGCATTCGAATAGTGATACTGAGTCCTGAACACACACTAAAGAAAGCCCTTTACTGCTGTGTCATACCATATAGTAATGAAAAGAAAAATCATGCAGCTGCAGATCTAGTGAAAAATGAAAATCACTCTCTTATTCAGGGTCAATCATTCAAATAATTGATCTTGCTAAACAAATACGGATTAGCCGAAGCAAGGAGTTGAAAAGAAAAGAAATGACTTCAAACCTTTCCCTCCAGCTTCCTTAGTTGATCTCTCAAAATGAACAACTCTGTGGCAGTTAGTAAGACCCCATGCAACATTGAGAACAGCATTCTGGATCCAGTATAACATGAATTACTACAGAGGATGGCAATTTGTTGTCAGGATAGAAGCCAACGAAATCACAGAATTTCACTGTATGAATGTAATGCTTTGTTCCCTCAAAAGCAACACGCAAAGAGCACGATAAATGTGTGCCGGTTCCATCAAAAGGCAGAGCTGCCTGAAAGACGTCATTGTGATTCCACGTAGCCAGGGATGATCAATGGTCATCAAAATGTAACAAAATTGTAAGTAAACTGTAAAAACAGTTGCGTTTACCGAATAATGAGAACTCCTCTATCGTTAAGCAGAGCTGGCTCTGCGCGGAACATTTCCAGGAGGCTTACAGCAAACTTAACAAGGGAAGGAGACACCTGGTGCCAGCTGAATAAAGTGCATACTATCAACTCTGCAAATAGCCAAGGCACTAAATTTGGATAGAAACTCACATTTTTCAATGTATCCTCACTTAACTGAAAGCTTGACAAATTCACATCATAGCGATCAGTGTTAGATTGACAGATATCCGACAGAAGATGTAAGTCGAGAAGCAACACCTGAGTTTGAAAGAGTTTTTAACAAGCACTCCCACTTCACCTAGAAAGTATTGGAACCAACCTCATCCGAGGTATCCGAGAGGGTTCCCAAAAGTACGGGAAAGATTTGTTCCATATGTACAAACAACTAAAACGCTAATATAAAGTGAGCAGAATAATAACTCAACAAAAATTGTATTTAAAACGTTTTTAGAAGAGAGGTGCACAGAGAAACAACCACAGTAGGACCAAGATGACACAGTTGCACGAAACACCATGAAATGCACAAAAATTTTGCAACTTCTGAAAGAAACACGAGTCTTCTTTGCCAGCACGACACATTTTTCTTAGAGCACTTATGCTTTCTCAGAAGATGCCAGAAGTTATACGATTGAGATGACGTATGAAGGATCTAGCGAGTCACCGCCGAAAAGACATTATTTAAGGAATGAACGAAATAATCGTTAAGTTACCTGAGAAGGCATTGTCGCATTCAAATGCCGTATCCAATTCAAAACAGCTATCCTAGTTTCTTGTTTTTTGTATCCTACGAACTTTAACAATACCTCTGAAAATAACAGCCGTTACCAGAATCCATATCTTACGGTGAAAATTCGAATTTTCCTAATAATCTGACATTTTTATGCTGATTATAAAATAATGCAAATCAGACGTACCGACGACGGAGGACATTGTTTGTTCGTCGATTTTGGTGTTCATGTCAATGAGCAGAAGAAGATAATCATTGACACTTTTGGCTGAAAATAAAAATTTACAAACTCAACCAAACTTCACCTCAGCATAGCAGAAAACCGGCAACCACTAGACTCACCCTTCAGATCGTCACAATCTAGAGAAGGTAAAACTGCAGTCAAAAAAGTCGACAAGTATGGAAGCATCTTTTCATTATATATTCTGGTAAAAATAAGAAATTAAAAGCCACAAGAGAAGAAAAACTGCACAAAAGGAGTGGATGTAAGAGTTAAATCAAAAAGTTGATGATACTTCTGAAAAATTACCTTATAAACTCATCCATCCATATAAGTGATAGTTTTCTTCCTAGAGCAGGTTCATCCTCATGCGCATGGGCGAGAAGCACGCTGACCACTTGCGAACGATCCTCCTTAAACAAGTGGTATTCGCTGGTACAAAATCTACACAACCTCTTGAATCTGTCCAGTGTTTCAATGGACCAATAAAAACAGTGAAACGATCTGCAGAGCGAGCTTTACACTGACATTTTACACGCCGGGTCAGCGCGGATGCAGCGATTCGCAACTAGCGACTCCGCGTTCTCGCTACTAGCGAATCGCTGGATTCGCAATTGACAGCGGCCTAGGGGTGCATTCATAGTCCGTCGTCCGATCGTCGCGATCGCACAGTAGATAGGTACCGATCGTCTAATCCTTGTCTGACGATCGATACGCATCCGATGCTCTGCGATCGTTACGATCGCACGACCGACTATGAATGGGCCCTAAGGGCGTTGGGAAACCGAGCCACATTAACTTTCAGGACTTTCAGTAACGGCTATCTCAGAACATAAAAAAAGTTTATAGCAGAACGGAACTCACATGGCTGAGTGCTTCAGGTTTGTTATGGATCCCTTGCAAAAACTGTCCTAGAAGTGTTTCGGTCACATCTCGAACGGCAGGTTGACCATCGGCCAGCATTCGAAATAGACCGTCAGAGACCTCAGCAACGTACGGTAGTAAATTAAAAGCTGGTGTTGTGAGCATGACGTTCAGCTGAAAGTGGAGAGACTGGTGTCAATAAGGTGACAAAGAAATGTTCTTCGTTACTAACCCACGTCACAATGAATTTCCTATTGGAGCTTGTCTGGACGTAAATGCGATCGCGTATGAGGCTCATCAGGTTAGCAATATCGAAGTCCTCTTTCGACACGAACAATATCCTTGGAGAAATCATAACGTTAAGGAAGGAAATAGGAAATAGGATGTGGATGAAGCATACCATTACAAAGGCGATCAAGAGCTCCGCTCCACTGCGCACATTCTGATCAGTGTCCGCAGATACTAAATATTAATTTTTGGTAACTAGTTTACAAATACGTGTAATTATAAAATTCAGTCACGTAGCAGAATATCATAAACCTTCCACAAAACATCGAATAATTGGTCGAAATGACTGAGTACAGCGATTTTGCAGATTTTGACGATATTAT